TACTTTATGGATGGCCCCTTAGATAAATTTGAAAAATCAAATATAACAAAATTTTTGTTAAAGATATGCATAAATAAAATAACGTAATGGCTGAAAAAAAGGAGATTTTATAACTCTCACAGGAATGCACAGTGGGCCAGAATTCACTTTTACTCAACTTCACTTTTACTCAACAAAATTAGCATAAGTACTAATATGATGTTTGCGCATTTTATTAAGGTAATATTTTTCTATTTCTGTGCTATGGATACCTTTATTTTGCTTAACAACAACCTATTTTGTTATTTGCAGATATTTTACGAGTGCTATATTTACTAAATTTGGCATGAGTATCAATTTGAGAGATCACGCTTCTTAAAAATTATTAATTTTATAATAATTTTTTTATATTTAGCTATGGATACTTATAGTGCTTAGTTACCAGATACTTTTCTTAGTTACAAAGTGGATTATTGATTTTTGAATAAATTTTATCGGATTTTCGATCCCCTATACAAAATAACAATTGAGTATTTAGGTAAATAATGTTTTAAGAACAATAAAAACAAAAAATAGTGCAAGAAAATATTGTCATTTTTAATTTACATCAAAAAGTTGAAAAACAAAAATATCGTTTAAAGATTGTTTATGTAATGGTAAAACAACTGAAGGAAATGCTTTATGATTTGTTTAATGTGATGTTGATTTACGTAGTAATGAAATAACAGGATAACAGAAAAATAGTAGTCTATTGATAAAATCAGCATATGTTGCTCTTCTGGTTGTTTTTCAGAATACCCAGAATTTCAGCTGCTTGTTCATATGCTGCAAAAGTACGCATTGAGGCATTACCATCGTTGCTTGTTCAAGAACCACAACTTTTATGGAAATCAATAACAAGTCCCATTTGGTTTATAAAATCAGTCTGATTCTTTTGTTTAGCTACAGATGGTTTTTTTGTGTTATTTAGATCTTGCTTGCCATTTTCTTGTTTCTTTTTCATATGCAATGTGCAAAATCATCTCAAAAAATCGAATCCATGCATTGAGATTAGAAAGACCGTATTTTAACTCTTTTAGTATAATCTATACTAAGGATATCATATTTTTTGGAGAGACTTCACACACTGAACAGCAGTGATACGAGTTTTTTCAGTTATTAACGTTTGAACCTTCCCATTAATCATTGTAATTTCAATAGTACAATTCACTTCAATAGAAGATCCGCAAATCTCAATTAAAATCATACCCAAGCTTTTTATCTCACTTTTAGTGTACTGATCTTCTTCGATCACAGATTCCTTGGATTCATTTTTACATGCCAATCTTATGAGTCTACAATACGCTGTGGATGACAACTTTTGATTTCTCCAAATAGACATTTTTTTGTTGCTGTTGTTAAACCCAGTCAAATCCAATGGAACTAAGACAAGTAAGAAATAATGATTCTTCACGCTTTAAATCTCTGTTTATGTCAAGTTCTGATAAAACTTGTTTACAAATGCTTTGACCAGTAGCACCATCAAAACTAGCCTTACACTTGCGTGGCATTGTTTTTATTGCTTTGTTGTTCAATATCATGTGTCTCAGCACAGGTTCCTGAACTGCACAGGCTCTTTGCAAATCATGAACCATTGAATCTTTTAAAGGAGCTGTAGCTTATTAGTCCTCCACTGTTATATTTGCAGGATAACATTTCAATTTTGCATCCCTGGAATCAATGTAAGCGGGGTAGATGTTATATTAATTGAATGAGATTCAATTAAGCAAGAAACAAGTCGTTTTTAGTTTTATTAGAACTATGATCAAATGCAATTGGTTTTTGACCACGTCTACTTGTTATATTTTGTTTTAAGATAATACTAAGATTGTTTTTTTGGAAAAATTTTTTTATGTCTAAGTTTAATAAAACCATATCGAAATAATTTTTATAACAAATATTTTGTATTAAAAAGTTTAAAGTTATAATATATATGCCACGTTGACTATTAGATCTTGTTAGTAATTAAGTCACTACAAGTGTTAGTAATTAAAATTAAAATTAATTAAATTACTAGTGCTAATAATTAAATAACTAACAACTACCAAAAGTATGTTGTTGATATCCTATGCATAGTAAGGTATCTATAGCAACCAAAAAAAGTTAACTTCATTAGAATTGTGAATTTCGTTTTAATACATACGCCCAATACTGTGTACCTAGCGCAAATAAATTACTGTTAAAACAACGTTAATGTTAAAAAGAGTTGTTGCTATGCAAAATTTAGTACCATAGCAACCAAATTAAAAGATATATAAAATTTAAACGGGGATTTAAGGGGAAGACCAATCAATTAAAACTCAATTGAAGCATCATATAATTCAAATAAACATAAGACAGCACAAATTGTGTTAATTATTAGTTATAGTGCGGCAAAAAATAAATTTCTTCAAGATTTTTTTTTTAATCTGTTATTTTCAAAATATAACTGAGATAACATGCTATGAAAAGTTTATTTCACATATTGATTTTTCTTATCTCTAAATACTCTAGAACAACACGTACTAATTTTTTGTTTTAAAAACGTAGATTTAATTGGAATATCACACAACGTTGATATCACCAAACTTACTAACTTATAATTTATTTATTTTTAATATCAATATTCAAATACTTAAAGCAGGCAAACCCGACGGGTTTTAAAGTGAGGGGGGGGGGGCAAAATCGTAAATTTTAAAAAAGTCCTTTAGAAAAAAGAGGGAGGGGGGAACGTACTCTCCTATCTCTTCCCCCTCCCCGGTGTCGGGGGGGGGGGGGGGAGGAGAGAGGAGAGCACGTTCTTTTTTAACTTTTAAGAGAGGAGAGCACGTTCAAATTTTTCCTAATATATGTAGATACTAAAATTAAATAAGTTTTCAAGATTAGACAACTTAAATTTTGTCTACCAACTGGCCCACAATCGAATGGCTGAAACTAGCGATTTTAACTAATGAGCTTAGCTTAATTATTCAGATAGGGCTCTTAAACAAAAATAGTTTAATTTATTTTATTCTTTGGTTACTATTCCAATACCCCATAAGTACTTTTTATAAACAAAGTAAATAAACATATTGCTTATATTGACAACAAAATATCAAGAAGCATTAGAATTCTATATCAGTCAAGATATCTCCTAAGCAAATATCATCTAAAACAAATATCGAGCTTCTCATATCTGGAATAAAATCTTAGCGAAAAATAGTGATATAACGGGTGTAAAAAATATAAATTGCTTTCAAAAGTTAATTAAAAATAATATTTTAGAGTATGCAAATCTTATTAGTGATTTATTTTGATTTTATTTTCATTTCTTATTTAATTATGACTTCAAGAATTTTTTGTTCTTAATACCATTTTATTAATGTTTGTTTAATTTAAACATGCAATCTCTTTTTGTAAAATATCTTGATGTACATTATTTTATAAAAACTTTAAAATACTTTATGATGATATGAAATTTGTTTATTTTAATTTTAAATTACGTTACGCAACCCAAAACGGGAACTTTATCATTTTCATTATTATGTTATATTATTTTATTTTTAACTTATTAAATTATTTTTGGCTGTGATAGTTGTTTTATTACTTTCTTGATTTTTAACTACTTGCAATTTTTTATTATTTTTGTTATTTTTATGTTTCGGATTTTTTAAAGCGTTTTTAATAGGGCTTGGTGATAAGGCTAGTTTATGCCTTCTTCTTGCTCCAGTCAATTATTTTATTTTTTTATATTATTGAACATTTGAAATCTTATTTAAATGGAGAAATAAATCAATAATCTATTCTATGCTTGATATGGTTTCACTTAAATATTATTAATATTTTGAGACCAATTTTGTTAAAAAAAAAGGTGCCGCGGACACGTTTTTTTTAAAAGTAGCTTTTGAAGGTAAGATTTCCTAAGTACTAAAACACATCCAATTTGCCTGAAAATTTCCTTATAGATTAAAAAAAAGATGATGAATCAAATGGAAAGAAGAAAATTTTTCGAATTTATACAAAAAATTTTAGTTCTCAACGTTTATAGACTTTAAGGTCGATTTAGTTAATAAGAACTTTTTTAAAAAGGTTTCCTGTCCAAAAGGCAAGTATCGCCATTCCTTTCTCTAAATCAAGTATTTATTTATGTTTTCTTGAAGATTTGATGCTTAGGAATTTTGTTTTAAAATTATGTATGCATCACATGCTTTATTTTTCGCGTATTTTATGACGTTTTTTGTTTTGATTTTTGCGTTTATTTACTAAATTATTAAAAAATTTTTGTATTTGCTTTATGAAATTTGATGATATTTGTTTTTTTTCACTTAATTAAAAACTTAAATAGGAGCTAAATAGGTTGGTTCATTTTATGAAAATAATATATAAATGCTTTAAATGGTATTAAAATAATTGTTCTTTCCATCATTTTTGTTTTTTAAAATAAAAAAATTTTTTATCACATCCTTAATAAGGATTATTTCATATTCACAATTCACACCCTTAAATTATTTCTTATTCACATCCTTAAATTAAGGCTTAATAAAGATGTGAATAAGAAACAATCCTTATTTAGGCTTAATAAGGATTATTTCTTATTCACATCCTTATTAAGCTTTAATTTAAGTATTTGAATAAGAAATAGTTTAAGCATGCGAATAAGAAATAATCCTTATTAAGGATGTGAATAAGAAATTTTTTTTATTTTGAATAAAAAACAAAAATAATGTAAATAACAAAATTTTTTAATAAGGATATGTAAGTAGTTAATTTAAAGACCTTAAATTAATCCTTATATATAGCCTTAATAATCCCTGTTAAGGCTTAATAACGATATGTTAAGCCTTATATATAATTAAGAACTTATATCTTTCATAAGTTATAGTACAATTTTGAATTAACTTGACCTAACTTCCTTAAGTTTTAACAAAAGCATAAACATTTTGTATTTTGATACTTTTATTTATTGAAAGCAAATTTTATTGATCTATCCTTTATTTTCTTTGTTTTGAGTTACTTTTATTTAGGTTTACTTTTATTTTTTGCTTCCAAATCATTGCTGGAAAAACCACTTGATACTGCCAAGAATTTATTGGATTTTTTAAATATTGAAGGTGGTATTGTTTCCCTCAAACACCCGAATTTTGTATTACGAATTACCCAATTTTTACAAATTTGCAGTGAAAAAGATGAGCATGACTTGACATCTGCCGAATCTGTCAGAATTCTTTACAATTTACTTTAAATACCCTATAACTAAAGTAATGCTTGCTAAGTCCCTTAAATAGTCAGGCACGTTTAGAATTGGTAGTTACTGGAAGACCCAAGATGAAGATTATAAAGCAAGGTAACGATTAACAGATGATTTAAAAGATTGCAAATTATATGAATTAGGAAAACAAGATGAATGAAGGGTATTAAAAAAACTAATGTTCTAGGAAAAAAACTAGAAAACTAAGAATTTTTGGAGCACCTAAGAACAATAAAATATTTTATTATTATATACAAGTACTAACTAAGCAATGATTTGAATATAAGGTTTCCATGAGAGGTGAGTACGAAAAGATAGTCAGAAACAATGTAAAGTAGAAGACACAGTAAAAATGTTGCCATTCATCAATATAGGAATATCAACAAGATTACAAAGACTTTTTAAAGACTTTGCTAGGCACACCATATTATCCAGAGCAATAGAATGTGCCTCTATCTAATAATAATTTCAAACCTCTCTGTAATGACAGTTAACAAATCAACTCCAAAACAAGATGATTGAAATCCATGTTTCTTATGTCATCAACAAATAGAGCTACGTTGTAGTTTTTCAGGATGATCATTAATGTTGGATAGAAAGGTTAATCTTATTAGCTAAGTATTGACACAAGAGTGAATTTGCAGCGTTTAATGCCACAGGGTCTGTGTGTTTTGTGATTGTGATGTTATTGTTGTGATGTTTTCTGTTGATAGACAACTTGGCTTACCTTCTCGCTTGTGTCTATCTTTAAAAATAATTATCAGGTTGTTTCGTTACTGAAGCTTGATACTTCTAATCATTCACTAAAAGCCAAGAGGTTTTAGAATAACAACATTTTTTGTTTTTTTTTCTTAGGTGTTGTCAATAGTTCACATAAAAAAGTTTCTTATTTTATATTTAACTTGTTTTAATTGTTAATTTATAAATTTTTTTTAATTTTTAATTTTCAAAATGAATTAACAAATATTTTTTAAAATTATTTTGTATCTGTGTTTTAAATAATGATTTTATTACATTTTTAGGTAGAGTTTTTTTCTGTTACGTATGCTATTGCTGTTGTAAGTACTCAAAGTTTCAGGAAGTTCTATTGCTTTAAGTTATTTTCATTTAAATTCAAATTTTTACTTTGTTAAAGAATCTTCTGTCTGTATAATAGGTAATTCTGAATGTTTCAGATAGATTTCAATGTATAGATTTCAATGTATAGATAGATTATATGTATAGATAGAATTTAATGTAGTATTTTACTAATCGGTTTGTAAATTAAGCAATAGTTTTAAACAGATGAATTAATTGGATTCTACAATCCTTTATGCATATTTGCATGGAGTTTTTATAATATAACCCAAAATTTTATTCTCCAAGACTAGTTAAATGAAATATATTCAAATTCAAATTACCCAATTAGTAACCCTTTTGCATTAATTTACTGACCGGTCTGTAAATTATGCAACAATTTCAAAATGATGTATTTTTTAGATTCCATGAAACCTTTATGCATATTTGCATATTGTAACTCTAATTTTTATTCTTCATTACGTAATTGATTGATTTAAATTGAATTAAAAGAGTTTTAAATTAACTGAATTATAATACTTAAAAAGTAAAAATACTTCAGTCTGTAAAATAAACGATTCTGTATGATCCCGACATATAATAAAAATTTCAGAACTTTTTAATATTTCAAATCAAATGTAGTAACGGTTCAAAAATATCAAATGTATTTAAAGTCGATATGGCCAATTGGTTGGTACATCCCTTTTTCTGTAATTTACTGACCCATCTGTAACTTGTGCAATAATTTCACTAAAAGGTCTGTAAATTATGCAATAGTTTTCAAATGATGTATTTTTTGGACTCCATGATTCCTTTATGCATATTTGCATACTGTAACCCAAATTTTTTTTTATAATACAATTAAATAAGTAGAAAGCCTTCAGTCTGTAAAATAAACGAATCAGGATAGTCCTGACAGATTTAATAAAAATGTATCACTATTTAAAATTTCAAGTCAAATGTAATAGCGGTTGAAAATTTTAAAAATTTTATAAAATATCAAACTATATAAAGTTGATATGTTCAATTAATTTGTACAGCCCATTTTCAGCAATTTACTGACCGATCTGTAATTTATGCAATTATTTTACTGACTGTTTTATAAATTATGCAATAGTTTTCAAATGATGTATTTTTTGGATTCCATGATTCTTTTATGCATATTTGCATGGCATAATTATAATATGACCCAAAATTTGATTCTCCAAAACTAAGAAAATAATATAAAAACCTTCAGGCTGTAAAATAGACGATTCTGGACAATCGCGACAGATTTTTTTTTTCAACTATAAGAAAAAAAAAAATTATTTTTTATTTTCTTATAGTTGTTTGATCACTATGAAAAATTTAAAGTCAAATATAATAATGATTCAAAAGTTATTAAAAAGTCAGTATGACCCCAAAAATATATAAATTAGTAAAAACTTTCAGTCTGTAAAATAGGTGATTCTGGGCAACCCCAACAGATTTAAAAAAAAAAAGTTGAAATTTTTATATCTTATAGTAGATGGGTCACTATGAAAAATTTTTAGTCAAATGTATCAGCGGTTCAAAAGTTATTCAAAAGCCAATAATACTCTTATTTTCGGTGCCATAACACAGCAAATTTTCCATACCTGAACCCTATACCTTTTGTCAAAAAATCATCAATTTTTCCACTACAAAAAGTTCAAAAATTTTGGATCCACTTAACTTCGAAGGCCAAATGACCCCTCATTTTTTAATATTTACATCAATTTTAAAATCTACAAAGTACAATTTTATAATATTTAAGTAAAGAAACTAATCAAAATATTATTGTTTGTATTCAGACATGCCAAAACACAAACTAAGTTGGGCTCAGCGTCAAAAAAAAGCAATAAAATGATGAGAAAGAGACATTAAAGTCCAAAGAATTAATGAGCAAGTTTCTATATTCAAAGAAAGCAAAAAAAAAAATGATGCAGAAACCAGAATCTGAAAATGACAGCATACTGATTCAGAATCTGAAGATGACAGCAGAGGTGAAGGCAGTTATCAATTGTTTGCGAAAAATGAAGAAGACTTAATGAACCATGGAGGTAAAGATACCCGCAATCCAGATCCTAGTGACGACAGTGATGGTAAAAATGAAGAAAGGGTTGAAGATCTTCCTATTCCTGCTGTATTCTGATTTCTTGATATTGGCTTTTTAAAACTTGACCAAACAACACAACGCCTATCATGTCGCAAAGTCTTAGAACTGAGATCATAGCATGCGGATCTGATTTATTTCAAAACACGAGTATTCCTTTTGTTGCAAACTCAGGAGGACGTTCAATAAACTTCACGTGGTTCAAATAACAACATGCTAATGACAATGAAGTGGGTTGTTTGTGATTGTTATATTCATCAGTTAAAGAAGCAGTTTCTTGTTTCTGTTGTTTACTTTTTCCAGCTTTCAGCTCAAGTTCACAATCTTATTTTGAATCAGCTGGTGGATTCACTGACTGGAGACACACAAAACTATTAAAAGATCACGAAAACAGTTCCTGTCACCGCAAACCATTTACTATATGGAAAAAAATTGAACAAAGAATAAAGCCCAAATTGAATCTGAAAAGAATCACTGACAAAATATCTTAAAAAGAATTCTTTCATGTATTAAAGTTATTGCTACTCCGAACATGGCTTTACGTGGTCATAGAGAAAAACTTAGTACTGCTGATGAAGGAATCTATATTGAAAATTTTCTTCCCCTTTTAAAACTCTTTTCTGAGTATGACCTTCTCACCGCAAACCATTTACAGCATGCTAAATAAAATCCAGGGTCCGTCTCTTATCTGCCTCCAGAAATTTAAAATGAATTCACCAACCTACTTTCCTGAACTCTTAGAGATATACTCCTCACCAGTATCAAAAGAAGTAAGTATTTTGTTATCTTACTTGATTTGACTCCTGATCTGGGACAACAAGAGCAGTTATCCAAAGTAATAAGATTTGTGGACAATGAGTTATCAAAAATGTTGTGATCAGAAAGTCATATATCAGATACATTGAAATCCATGCCAAAGATGCAGCAACTTTTGAAACTGATGAAACTAGCAGATTGTAGATCCCAATGTTACTACAACGATGCTGTGATGACAGGACATATCTCTGGGCTTCAACAACAAATATGTGACCGAAATCTTCGAGCATTGTTTGAGAATTGTGATAACCATAGATTAAACTTGGTTGGAGTTCATTCTGCTGAAGTAGATCCTATAGTCATAACATTTTTTGGAACAATTGAAAGCATTTTTCTGTTTTTTTATTGTTCACCTCTGCGATGGGAGCAATTGAAAAATGCTGTTGAGATTACTTTTAAACGGGAAGTAGAGACCAGATAGAGTGTATTAGCAGAAGCTGTTGGAGCAATTTCTGAAAGAGTCACTGAATTGGTTGAACTTTTTCAAAGTCTTTCAGATGACATAAGCCAGACGATGGATACTAGAAATGAAGCTGGAACTTTGCTTTAAAATATTCAAAAATTTAATTTCATTTTTTTACTTCATTTCTGGAACCACATTCTTGAAAAAGTAGACCACGTTCAAGATCCTAGAATAGACTTTAAAGATGCAGCATCTGATATGGAAATATTGGAGAATTATCTCAAAGAATTTCGTGATCATTTGTGCCAAAATTCAATCGAGTATAGCAAGGGCATATGTATGAAATGGGGAATTGAAGTTAAGAGGAGAGTCAAGTGACGGTAAACAATGCCGGGTAAAAGGGCTGGAGATAGTGGCCTCTCTACTGAAGATGAAGTTAGCAGAGTTTTGAAAATGATATTTTCAAAATATTATTTTCAAAACTCTGCTATTATACATATATATATATATATATATATATATATATATATATATATATATATATATATATATATGTATAATATATATATATATATATATGTATATATTTGTATATATATATATTTGTATATATATATGTATATATATATATATATATATATATATATATATATATATATATATATATATATATATATATATATATATGTATGTATATATATATATATATATATATATATATATATATATATATATATATATATATATATATATATATATATATATATATATATATATATATATACATATATATATATATATATATATATGTATATATATATATATATATATATATGTATATAACAGTAGTAATAGCAATTACAAAGCTAATTACAAAAATTTATTTCGAATTTGACTTAACTTTTTATATAGACATAGATATACGCCAAACGGCGCTATTAAGGGAATCTGCGAAAAGATTTTTTTTGGAGTTTTATACCCAAAAATACTGAATCTTCTTTGATTTCCTTTTTTTAGGTATTAAAGTATAAAAAAAAAAAAATATATATATATAATAGTTATTATACCAGAAATTATATTAAGTTTGCATCAATACTATATTAATGTATCAAAGTTGTATAAATGTATTTTTATCAATCTGATACGTAATAATTTTATATATATTTTTTCTTTTTATCACGATAATAAATGTATATTTTATATGGTATACCTGAAGAAGAAAAAAAAAAATAAAAAAAAAAATAATAACTTAGTGACTTAAAATGGGATAACTTATCACATAAGTCTTTATTACAGAGCACCGTGGATAGGCATTTAACTGAAAGTTAGAAGGCCATTCATTAGATAAAACTTGTTCGTTAAAAAATTGTGATAACAAAAGGACTAAGAAATGTAAAAATATAAATTTTTTAAAAATTTGTAATAAATTATAAATAGAAATATATAAAATAAAAAAAAAACATACAAGATCAATTTTTAACTATCAACTAGATTATCAAAAATTATTATAATTGTATTATCGGAACTCCGATTTTTTCTCGGCTCCCACGGAGTTTTTTCTCGATTTCTCTCGACTCCGTTTTTTCTCGATATTAGATCCTTTGACTTGAAATAAAACTTGATTTATGAGATTTTTAATATTATTTATATTAGTAGGTTTATTTTCTTTGATTTATAACAGATTTACAAAATTTATTATTATGGATTCAAGGCCGGCGCGATAGGGGTGTGTGACACCCCATCAATGATTTTTAGTCGGCAAACTGGACCCTTAGTCGGCAAATCGAACCCTTTTAGACTAGTAAGTCGGCAAATGTCGACTCTTTCGATATAGGTTAGACAGTCGGCAAATATTGTAATGGCAGTCAGCAAATTTTGGAAAACGAGGACCTTTTTTTTTTTTTTGTTACTTTTAGTCGGCAAAGGTTGTAATGGCACCCCACCCCCTCACGTGACACCTACTCGCGCCGGCCCTGTATGGATTTTTATTACAGATTTATTATTATGGATTATTATTATAGAATTATTATTACAGATTTTTGCTTATTATCATAAACAGATTCGTGTCTATTATTATGGATTTATTATTATAGTCATTCGTTAGATTAATATTTTCAGTTTTTTTATATTATGATTTATTGTTTTATAGTATGATTTATTGTACTATTTTGCTTTTAAAATTGTAAATGTTCTGATGATACGATCATTGTGATCTTCTTTCAGAAGCTTTGTTTGCTTGTTCTTGTAAAATATTGTATTTATTTTACGACAAATATAAACAGATCATGCAAGGACAGATACAGTAAATTAATGAGACTTTGCTGAATGACGAGTGAAGCAAGAATGAGTTTTAGTCAATGGAACTAGAGATTTTTTCTTTTTTTTATTTATTTTTATCAAGCAACCATTTACAATTAAAGGTAATTTCCGATAAAATATTTAAAAATATTAAATACAAGTACATTTTATTATTTATAATATTTACGAGACCGGAGAAACTGAGGAAGATAAAATTTTATCATCAGTAACATTTGGTAATAAAAATTAAAAATAAAAGTGTATTGTTAGAAAAAATCATGTAGAATCTTGATCGGCAATAAGTTCGATTATGTTCTTTTCAAATTTTTGAGAGGTATTGGCTTCTTTAAGTTAAACACTCAAGCTTGTAAAATGGTTCCATAGCATTGGACCACGATGGGAAATGGCAAAGCTCGTAAGTTTTGATAAGAGCTCCTTTGAGCAGCGACCATGATAGTATTTGTAGAAAAGAGAAAGGGATGACAATGAGAGAGAGAAGATTGATGAGTTTTTGGACCAAGAAAGGAAAGAGCATCATTAAAAGAACCAGCCCAAATATGAAAATAGTATTCCATACAGGGATGAATAAAATTTGTAATGGTAGAGAATAAAATCAGGAGTAAGCTAATGGCAAGCACAATTAAGAGAAGCTACCTTAACAGATGGTAACCTTGCAATCAATTGCAAATATGATTTCCATGAGAGGTCAATTGTGAATGTTAACCCAAGAAGATGTTAAAAACAGGTTTCAGTAAGAGGATTGAGATTCATTAATATAGGAATGACAAAAATATTATGATAGTTGTTTGCAGTAAACAACTTTTGTAGGAGTTAAAATTCACATACCACTGCAAGTCCCTATATGTTACAAAAGTAAGATTAGGTTCAAGATCAGATAACTGTTCTAAACAACCTAAAAGGATAGAACCTTTGGACACCTCAGAAGTCACTGGAAATGAAGAATAACGTAGGACGTCGAGGATGACTTTATTAAAACGGTTAGAAAGAAAAATTTAAACTTTTATCTCAAAGACTTTCTTTTATATACCATACTTTATCGAAAACTATAATATCTAAAACTTTCGATCTAGACCTCTATCTAATTCACTCTATTTTCGTCTATACCTCCATCTAATTTATGATAGAATCTTTCAGTTATAGCATGTCAGCCGTAAAACGAGGTCGAAAACCATATATAATTATAAAATTATTTGAGTTGCCAGAAAATGTAATTTACTACATACAGAGTGAATAAAACGCAAACTGCAGAGACTCAACGTAAAAATGTAACGACTAAACTATTTCGTTTTTTTAAAAAGGATCTTTAAAAAATTACTTTTGCAAATTAACATTTTCATAGATTATTCTTATAAGAGTTATGAAATACGATTATCAATTAGGTTGGAAATCAGATAGCATTTAAATATTTACCGAAAAGTTGTCGACGTACATTTATATGCTGAATTTTAATATAGCATAAGTCACGTGACTTAATGCCTACTTTCAATACATTAAAAGCATTGACGTTTAAATATTAAAAGACGTTAATCAGTCAGGCAATAAAAACTCGAGGATTTTATTAAAAACATGGGCATGGATCAAACATCGAATATTATATGTAGGATAAACAAATATAGAATATGAAAATTTACATCAATAATATGAAGACTCCATGGGAAGAAACGGCACATTTTGAAAATTTTGACATTTCACTAATCGACATATATTGCGGTTTATTACAACATATTGCAATGTTATTGCGCGTTCAATTTAAATTGCTATATATTGCTCAATTAATTGTCCAATAAAATATCAATAAAATTATACTAATGTAATGTGTTTGTAAATGTAATTTAGATGCATTTAAATATAAATAATTCTGATGCTTATCTAATTGCCTGTGTCATTTTTTTGTTTTACATAAATTTAATGGGTTTACAAGCAGTAGCAAGATTGTTGTTAAAATATTACAATATAATTGCAATATAATTGCAATATAATTGTAATATTATTGCAATATTATTGCAACTAATATTAGGTAATCGATTTTATGATTGTAACTGAAGTTACAAGCATGCTTTCATTGGACTTTATACTGCAGTGTAAGTGCGACCAGGCAGGTTTCTTCGGCGCACGTTAGACATGGCTTGCATGAGCCCAGCAAACCTGTCTGGCCACACAAGATACCCGTGCAAAAATAACATAGTTATTTATAAGTAAAGACTCATAAAATTTTATTAATGGTGAATATATGTGCAATGAAACGAAATTTTTTTAATAGAAAGTACGAGAGAAGAACTTTACATTTTACGGCTGAGTCTACTTCTTCTGAAGAGGAAATTACTAATAGTAGTTCTCAGTCCGACTGTAGCAATACAGATGATAATGTTAATGATGGTAGTTTTACCCAAGAGACAGAAGAAATTGTATCTATAGTATCTGAGGAAGAAAATCAAATTCTAGTATCTGAGGAAGAATCGAGTGCTTCCATGTTTCAGTTCTTTAGTTCTAATCCATTTGAATGTTCTTTATTGGATTCAATTGTTAACAAAAAGTTTATGTTTTTAACCTTGTTGTATTTAATGATTAGCAATTCATTTACTGAAATCGCATTTGATAGATTTTTGAAGACTTTGCTGGTATGTTAGATGTAGTTTAAATTGTGCAATGTACTTGTAAATGAATATTGTGAAGCTAATAAAATTATCAATCAACTTAGTCCTTAGCAATAAATGTTGATCTGGCTATTTATCTCTGGCTGCTACCAGAAATGGTGCACATTGCCAATAATTCGTAAAAAAAGTCTGATAAAGTAATGCAGAACGTTCCTAATTATAAAACATTTTACTTGTGAAAATTTTATCCGACTTTTTTTACAAATTATATATTATATAATATTTTACAATTATATATTATATATTTTATATCTATAGTTTTTACAAATTATTTTTTTTACAAATTATTAAATTATAAAAATAATGAAGTATGTCATATTTTTATTTCAACTTGAGGCTGGGGTCTGGCCCAGGCTTAGTTTGGTTGATAAAGCTTGAAAAAATATATTTTTAATTTTTAAATTTTTTAAATAGATTTTTCGCTGTATAAATGACATGCCGTCATCTCATAAAATGATTCGTAGATTTGTTACTAAAAATATATTCTCCCATACTGAACCAACGCATAAATATTATTGTCATAATTGCTGCACAGCTTTAGTTGACACGTGTAAAATAAATACTCATTGTTCATCCCATATCTTTATATTGGATATCATTAGCCAAATGAAACTTGTTTTATTTCTGAATTTGGATGCAATTAAATCATATCAATTGGAAATTATGTCAGGTAAAAGAAAGAGTGATTTTATTTCTAGACCAAATTTTGTTGAAAATATGAAGTCTGCAAATGTTTTACATATTCATTTATTAATGTCAACAGATGGTGGAGAACCATACACAAAAAAAAAGATTACAATGTGGCCATTCCATGCTATTATTTTAGATTTACCATCTTATAAACGATTCCTATTTGAAAATACACTACTTCTTGGTTTATGGTTCTCATTATTAAAACCTAATTGGAATGCTTATTTAAAGGTAATTAAATTATTGATTGTTATTTTTTATTTTAAAAGTAGTTGTCAATGGAATTACCTATAGTAGTAGAATTCACTGTTCCAGCCGTGACAAGAATAAATTGGGCAACGTTACTATATTACTAACTTTTTTTTAGGAGTACATCAATGGAAAACTGTTTGAAACACCCCTTGAAATTAACAATATCCAAGTAGTAATTCATATTGTTGGTTTTGTTTTCGATTTGCCTGCAGTGGCTTCAATCATCAATCATAAGCAGTATAATGGTGAATTTGGATGTCACTATTGCGAACATCCTGGTAGAACAATTGAAAGAAAACATGGTTCCGCTAGAATTTATTCACATTCAGATACAAATTATAATCTTAAAACATCTGAAATGTATGCCATATATGCTAGATTAGCCGAAAAATCAAAAGTATCTGTATTTGGAATTAAAGGCTCAAACATCTTTAGTGACATTTCATTTATTAAAGTGCCAGATATGATACTTATTGATGTGTTACATTTGTTTTACGAAAATTGCTCAAAAAAGCTTTTTTAAAAAGCTTTTTTTAAAAAGCTTTTTAGTTTGTTTATTTTCTGTTACCAATAAACACGAATCATTTTTTATTGGTAGTGCAAAATTAAATGCTATGGAAATCTTACTTGCTGATCAAAAAATGCCACATAACATGCCCAAGCCATTAACTATTAAATCATTCACACATTGGAAAGGCCATGACTTTAAAAACTTTATTTTATACTTAGCAGTTCCATATTTTTTACCATATTTGAATCCTGACTGCATGATGATGATTTATTCTCTATTAATTGGTATGCGTTTGTGTAGCAGTGAAATATGTTTAGATAAGGTGTTGCTTATTAGTCAGCTGTTTAACTTTTATCAAAAATCATTGTCTGAGTTGCTTCCTTTATATATGAATACTATAAATGTTCATTTGCTTGGTCATGTTAGCGATATTATTAAAATGCATGGAAGTGTTACAAATTACTCAATGTTTTGTTTTGAAGCTCGGCTAAGTAATTATAAAAAAATGATGAAGGGAACACATGGTCATCCACAACAGATTGTACAAAAATTTCTTGACTTCAAAACAGCTTCTTGTTTTTTGCAAACAACAGATCATCCTAAAAAAGTTGAAGTTTGTAAAGCATTAAATATTGGCATTATTGAACAAGAAGAACTGCAGTTGTTAAATCCGGGCAGATTGTTGAAACATGGTATTGTTTACCATTCAAAAGGTTATGGCAAACATAACAGCTACACTTGTCAATTTGGACATAATAAGTTTGGTATCATATTAGATTTTCCTTTAGTTGACAATGTAATACATGTTCAGTTACAACTATTGAATGTGAAGTGTAAGTTAGTTTCTACTTTTGGTGATATGATTGGAAATTTGGAAATTAACTTTGATGATGACTTTTTTTTATTGTTGAACAAACAAAAAACATTGTTGTTATTTCAACTGACACTTTAGTCTGCAAATGTATATTAATTAAAAGTAAATTAGATACAAAAGATGTATTAATTTTGACACCATTGAAAGAACTTTTCGAATATGCTTAGGGTGGCTAAATGTAAATTTTGTAATTAATAAATATGCTTCACATCATGCATGTGTGTTTTTTTATACTAACAAACATTTTTGTTTTTAATATTTTGATAATTTGATTTAAAATAATTTGATAATTTGATTGAATTTTTTTACAGGTTTATATTTTATTAAATAATGACTTACCCTGATAGAAATAGAACAAAGAAATTAGATTTTGTAGACACTCAAAAGCTTTCTTCTACGTTTGTTCTTTTATGGTACAAGGATTGTGAAAAAGATGAGCGGCATACCTCTCCCATATCACTTTCAAATACACTTTTTAAGCATTATTCATCCGTTGAATGCCTTGAATTTCAAGTGGTAAGTGTGTTAAAAAAAACTGACAGCATTTACCATACATAATATAATTAAAGTCCACCCTTAAATTTTATCCCCCCTCCCTATAATTGACAAAGAAGATAAATTTTGTTTTGTTTTTTTACATACCAGCTATTAGCTGAATATATCAGCTATCAGCTATTAGCTGAATATATAGAAGCCCACCTTAAAATAGAAGCAAGTATTTTAGATGCCCACGAATAAGATAAAAATGTTTTTTTTGTTTTTTTACATAGCTGAATATATAGAAGCCCACCCTAAAATGGAAGAAGTATTTTAGATGCCCACTTTTTAGGGATGTTGAAAAATGGAAGCCCCTGCTTTTATTATACTATTTATGGTGTGTTGATAATTAAATTTAATGTTTTTTACTTATTAGAAAAATGTAGTGCATGTTTCTATTGCAAATATACAACACGCAGCTGTCATCATTTATAAGGGGTCTATTACCCAATGCTGTAAATTTGAAACATTGCTAGATAACTTCATGGACGATTTTGGTGATGAAAATCCTAGCACTGATGAAGTAAGCAAGTTTGCCCTCAATTATATTGAAGGCAATACTGACGGAAAAAGAAAACATTCTGATGGAGACCAATCCTCAGGTAACTTATGTAATATAAATATGTGACAATGACAAGACAATATTATAGTAATTTTATTTAAAATTTACTCTTCTGTGTAGTGGTGAACTGGACCATGGTGCCGGAGTGCAATAGCACCCTGGGTCAAAAAAAAGGAGGTTACCTCTGTTACCAGACAGAGTTTAGTTATTATGTCTGCTACACAAGTAATAATTAATTAAACATTTTTGCTAAATAATAAAAAATGACACAAAATTCACACAAAAATTATCAACACAAGTTAAAGTTGCACTATCTGATGGTAGGTGGGGATCTATTGGATCCACTAGTAGCCTAGCCCCTAGTACACCCATGATTATATGTTTGTAACCACAACTTGTTCATGTTTTTTTTTATAGATTCAGAGAATATTGCACCGGTCTCAGAACATACAGGCCTAAACGGACCTAAATATAAATCGACTCCTAAATCAAAGGTGCTGAAAAAAAAAACATGTAAATGAAGTGTTGAATGAAAATTCAGGTAATTTTAATAATATTACAATTTTGTTTATGTAATTTCTTGAACATATTTTTATTGTCTTTTTCATTTATAGAATCAGAGTCCTTTGCATCATTTTATAACAGTCAAAAAGGATCTAAAAAAAGTGAAGCACAGATTATGGCTTTGGAAAAGCGGAAGCTTGACATGCTACTTGACAATGTTGATGCTCCCAGAGCATTGATGCTTCCAATAATTAGTGATGTTCCTAAAACAAAACACTGTGGTTCACCGAAGTTAAGCAAACTATCTTGTTTAGAAGGTTAGTTACAGTCCTATAGTATGAATACTGTGTTTGCCTAAGTTCTACCATATTGTACTTGTACATAGAAGTGCTATATATTTTTTTTAACATTAGCAATTTTGATTGAACAAAAGAAACTTCTTTTTGAACAAAAGAAGACCAACAAACTGTTGTCTGAAATTTTGCGCCCAATAGAAAAAGAATCTGTAAATAATGATAATGTAAGTCAATTTAATTTTTGTAATTTAATTAAAAAAAGCTCATCCAATGAGAGCACAACTTGCTAGTATTTACCAAATTGAATAAAAGAAATATTGATTGCTAAAGGAAAGGTACATTTATATACAAAAGGTTGCATAATTTGACCATCCATTGAAAAATGTTTACTAAATCCGAACTTATCTGTATTATACTTTTTAGGCCGTGTATACTGGTTTTGATGCCGAATTTAAATTGCACGACATTCAAAAACGAGAACCATGTAGCTTTGCAAGAAAATTTATTTTGTTGCAATTCGGAACTGACACGTTCTAAATGTGATGAGTTTAAAATTAAAATTGATGCAATAAAAATTGAACTATCTTTTAATTCAGAATGTACAAAGCCTGAGCAACAATTACTTGAGCTTGAGTTACAGAAAGAACAGCATCACAAAGATGCAGAAATATTTAATGTTAGGAAAAGAAATACTTGGTTTAAAGCACTAAGGGAGTACAAATTTAAGGCAATAGCTTTTGATTTCCAAAAAAATTTTAACTTACGAAATCAATCAACCAACGACTTTTACATTAAAACATTCAAAATTGCTCGTAAAAAATCCACTCCGTTTCATGTTATAGAATTAACGCAAGGTATGGTTAAAAGTATAACTGATTTTATGAGACCATTTTATAAGAATAAATGTCCAATTCCAACTCGTCGTCTTTGTGAAATTTGTTTCAGAGGAGACTCAAGTGGCATTATATTTTACCGTGATTCGTGGAATGGATAATTGTTGAAAACTAATTTAAAAAATAATAGGAAGAACACTATAAATAGTGAGATCCCCATGCTGTATAATGCAAAACTTTACATCTTAATGGCAAAGTACAAAGATTTACAAGTATTAAAAAGGTTTACATCCAATGCTCAGGTTTACGATTTTTTGCCATAAAATCAGGAGTTATCGAGAAATTTCATGAAAATATTGAGTCTGAAGATAAAAAGTAAATAGACTTTTCTTTAATTGTTTTTTTTCTTTTTGTTTTTTGACAAATTTATAATCTTTAATGTTTCTTCTTTGCTGCACTTAATATACAACAATTTATATAATTAATAAGCACAAGATATTAAATATATCTTTGAACTATTAGTCAGGCTATGAAAATAAAAATTCAGGTCAAATAAATACTAAATTGTTTGAAAACCTATAAAATTTTAAAGCCCCTTTATTATCAGGAAAGAAACTTTGCATTAAATAACTTTTTGTGTTTACAGTTCTGTGTTACCTGTATTTAATAGGTTAACCTTTAATTAAAAAACAAATTGAACTTTGTCATCAACAGTAATATTTTTGAATGAAAGATTTATAATAAAAATTAAAGCCTTTTGTAAACGAGAACTATTACTATAATTAATTAGACAACTCTCAATTTCTTGAACCTCTTAAGGACCGATTAATTAGTTCGAGATATTAATTAGTTCGAGAATATGTTCGAGTTATCGAGAGATTAATCCATTAATAAGGGTTCAACTGGATTCAAAAAAGTTTGAGATATCAAGTATTCAAGATATCGAGAATTGACTGTATGTGATATTTTCGTGCAAAAAAAAAGAACAAAAATTGAAGCCTTTTGATAAGGAGAACTATAATTATTTTCTAAACGAAAATATCAACACTAAACAGTATTTTTAATTTTTGTTCGATCCCCTAGACTTTTTAAGGATAAATATTAGGTCTTGGTGGTGAGGTTGTTTGGTAAAAATAGCTTCTGCCTAATTTTATCTATAAGCTAATAAAAAAATAATTAACATTTTATATTTTTAATTGATTGAAAAACTAATAAATTAAAAAAAGACATTTTACCGGGGAAAAAAAGGCATAAAAAACCTCACTTAAAAAAGAAAGTCTATAACGTAAATTATTATATTTAAATTAAAAATACAACTTTAATTGAATAAAAAACTAGTTTTTTTTGTAATATATCTTAAAAGTTTTAATCCTTTCCCTAAAAATAAAAAAGTTATATAGGTTTAAAAGTTTAAAAATGAGTTATTGCAAAATGAAAAAATGTGACCCTGCCGTTTCTTCCCGTGGAGTCTTCATATATCATTTAAATATAACGAGCCAGACAAACACACAATAAAATTATATTTACTAAAATCTGCCGCATTTACATTAGTTAAAAAAAGACAATGTGATCGTTTTAGCAAAAATAACAAAACATGAGAATAAATTAATTTTTTAATAAGCAGTGGTGGCAACCTGCAAATAACTAACAGTATTCAGTTTTTGGCCCGCTTAAGTGCAGCACTGCCACAAATTGCAACTTTAAACAAAACAACCAGTCATAAAAACTACATTGTTAAAAAAAAAAATGCGACAGAATAGCAGGTTGCCAGCTACTTCAGAGTAGGAATATGAAAAGAGGTTTAAAAACCAGAAAAACTTTCTGTAAAAAAAATCTTAAATTGACAAATGTAATCAATTTAGATAAAATACGTCATAACTAAGGATATTTCACTTGCTACAAAATATTAACAGACTGGATACTGTTACGCAGTGTTTCAAAAATAATCCATAAAAGAACCACTTTACTGTTTTAAAATCGGTTGAAAATTTAAGACTGACAACTTTAAATAATCTGTTTACAAAAGTAAAATAAATAAACTCTAAAAATTTCATTTTCATATATTTTTGCAAAAAACTTTTAAAGTAATGCACTGAACAAAATTTTATATGGGAAACAGAGCACTTGGTAACAATATTGAGACAGCAAAATAACTATATATTTTTATAAATATAAAAAGATGATAAATTACTCGACATCAATTCTACAAAAAGTAAGCGAATGCCGTTTACGAATTAGACTAAGCAAATACATATCCTTTAGTAATGAGAAAATAATTAAATGACATACGTTAGACATCAAATCGACTTTGATAATGGATTTGAAGGCAATTCTAACGATACAGGTTTAACATCATTAGCTTTCAACTTTGGAGTTTCCTCGTCAGAAGAAGTTATACTAGTCAAAGATGAAGACGAAGATGATGTTGAGTTAGAATCACATCTTGCGATGTTTTCACCTTAATTAAAATTTAGGCAGTTTAATAGATCAATTTGATTTTTAATTCCACAATTTTGTCTCATGCTAAATCGCTTTCATGAAAATAAAAAACATCTTTCGAAACAAAATGACAATTTTTTTTTTTAATTACGTGAATTTTTGATTTACACGAATGTGCGATTTAGATTGAGTAAACAAATGATTGCATAATGAATTTCGGGTTAAAAAAACAATACCTAAAACTCATGCGTCTATTAAAAAAACTTATAAAATTAATTTAATATACTGTTTATTGCATCAAATAATATTTTTTTACCTATAACGTATTCGTATTTATACTTCGAAATATCGACATTTCTAGTAAACCATGGGTATTTTATAACATCTTTAAGCTTGGCACGAAACTTGACATCGCGATTAAGCATCCAACAAATAATAAACATTAGCTCTAGTATTAGTGAATTGATGTTAAAACTTTAAATTTTACTTACATAACAACTTCATTTTCAACTCTATATCTTACCGTTTGAAACTTTACACGGCGGATAAAGTTCGGCATTAATAGTTTCTTCAATTTCAAAAAACGGATGTTCACCAAATACTAATGTATATAGAGTGACACCTAACGACCACATTTCAAGTTCAAAACCTTCGTAGCTAAATATTAAAAAAAAAATAAAAAATAATTAAACAATTTTATTTTTTTTGCTTAAAAAAGTAATCTCTTGTTGCTTTTACTATTGTTGCTGTTTCTGTTCATTTTTGGGAAAAATAATGCGACCTAGTTTTGAATCGCTTCTGAACACCATATTCAAGCTTTTCAGGTGTTGCCCCAGATTTGTGTGACTTACAATCAATAACTTCAATAAAGTTTTTAAAAGGTACCTTACATAATACTACTATTTTTCATGGAACAACAAATACTTATATCACTTTTTATGAACTTATATGAGCAATTAAAAGTTCTTGTATCTCTAATATTTTGAAGAACATTCTATGGTCTAATATTTTGAAGAAGCTTTACAAATATTATTACATATTATATTCAAAACATTATATTGAAATCAACGCGTTTTTTAACAATGATTCACAACAATGAATGACAATGAGGAGTAAAGCAAATGAGTTATCTAAATTTTTTTTACTTTAAAAAAGACAACACACTGTTGAAGTACATTTATCTCCTTTCGTTAAGTAAAGATTTCTATTTTCTTTATTAAACACAAAAAGTTCTACTTGTAAGAACGCTTTAAAATCTATAATAGAAACATACAATCTTCATAAAAATGTAAACAAAAAGTTTAAAACCATATGAACATAGTATATGACATATATACCTAAAATAAGGCTAAAAAATAGCTTAAAACAAAAAAGTAGTCTCTTTTGAAGAATGTTTTATGTAATTTTATTTGTTAAACATTTAAAATACATATACGAAATAATTTTTATAAATTAAATACATCTGGCTTAAATTGTAAAGTAGTTCAAATTTAATTAAAAAATTTACTAAACACTATTAATAAACTGCGTAATAAGTAATAATAAAACAATGGAAAAGAACTTGGAAAAGACGAAGAGCAAAAACCTCCTTAGAAACTTTTGTTTAGATATCGCAAGAAAATAAGTTTTTTTGTTTAGAAAAAAGATTTTTTCCTTGTCTATCCAAAACTTATTTAATTTAATACATATATACCTGACATATGTATACATATATTCCAAGCATACAAATGTGTATGTATATACATACATACCTGTTTCCAAGTAAAACTTCTGGTGAACAGTATTCAACAGTACCGCAAAAGGTGTTAAACATCTTTCCACGTTCTATATATGCTGCAGAACCAAAGTCAATAAGTTGCAGTTGAAAAGATCGATCAACAATAATGTTCTCATCCTAAAACCATAGTTCAATTTAAGCACTCATTCAATTTGAAACATTATGCAATCATTTTAACTATTAAAAAGTCATTTAAATGCACACAAATTAATTTGAACTTGACAAAAATTATTTAAACGCAAACTTACCCACTTTAAAATCACACAAAATGTTTTAAATTTGAAAAAAAAAAATTAAATTTTAATGAGTTTTTGCTGTTTAAGTTTTTTCAAAACATTAAAAAAAAAAAAAAAAAAAACCAAACAAAAATACTAACTTTAATATCTCTGTGAAGAATATTTTGAGAATGCAAGTACTCTACAGCCAGCAAAACCTACAAAAAAAATATCAAGACCGACAATTGTAGAACTTGGAAAATCTTTTTTTAAAAATCTGGACTGATTTTCAACTTTTAATTACTGAAAAAAGGAAACAATAGCCAACAATAGCAATAACACAAACAATAGCCAATTGAAATCATATGAGGTAGGAAAGTAAACAGACATGTTTCAAAGTTTATAAAAACAAAATTGTTACTCATTTGTTTGGATAAAAATGTAAAAAACTTTTTTGCGTATTGCTGGATTTTTGTAACCTTACAAATTAAAAAAAAAAATTATAAAAAAATTTATGAAGACACCCCAAAACATCAAGAACTACCTGCTAAGATAGATAAAAGATTATTTTCTAATCAGTATGTTTTTATGCATGATAATAATCAAAAACATACAAAATTTAAAAAAATCAAAAACATACAAAATTTAAAAAAATCAAAAACATACAAAATTTAAAAAAATCAAAAACATACAACATTTAAAAAAATCAAAAACATACAAAATTTAAAAAAATCAAAAACATACAAAATTAGTAAAATGATTTAAAAAAATAAAAAGCCTTTAAATTTTGAAAAAAAAAAAAGGAATAAACGCCATAAACACAAAATATACAAAAACACCTATTGTCTTATAAAGAAAAGCTTGCAAGTGTTGCAAGTAAAATGGAATGCAACACAACCCATTTTTTATATTATATTTAAGCAAAATCTATTTTTTATTTCAACTTTCTGATTATGTTTATAAATGTTTAATTTGTGTAAACATATCAACAAAAGTACAAATTTTACTTAAAATTTAGCATGTATAAGAACTAATAACTTTCTCAAACATGAGAAATGTTTATATGCAACTTCTTCTGGGAGGCTCTTATTTTTGTGCGTGGTAGATCATGAAGAAATTGGGATGTCATTTACAATCATATGTTGATTGCAAAGATGTGTTGATACAGTAACATGCTAACTGTGAAGTACAAACCAGTAAAATGCAAACTTTTTCTTTGAACAAATTCATATATTATTACTTTATCTATTATTATTATTTATACCAAGGAGCGAATTGAGCAATAGTAAATTGCAATATCTGGAAAGGCATCTGGTTTTTAAATTTTCAGATTTTCAAAAGCCATCAACTTTGTTTTTACCTCAAAACTTAATAGTTATTATTCAATTAAATTATTTATGCATTGATCTTGATATTATGCTAAAAATGATTAAAAAACAATATTATTATTATCTTTATTATTATTATTAAAAAATTATGATTTAAACTTCAATAGCTTAATTTATTTGATAAACCATCAGATAAAACTAGAAAAGTAAAGCATACAGTACAATATAATATTAAAAACAAAACTAATTAAAACTTCTAATTATTAAAAAAAAAAAAACTCCATTATTTAAAATAAACAAAAACATAAGTTTAAATACACATAATAACACATAAGTTCAAATACGTATATTTTTTTATTATTTTATTACCAATTAATTTATGTCTAATTAAATTTTTTTTGATTTTTCAACTAAGCACAATGAAACTGTAAACAATTATAAAGTAACTGGAAAATTAAAAACATAAATTTTAATTTTTTTTGAATGTAGAGCAAAAGAAATTAAAAATTATTGTCTTAAGTATGTAATTCACTTTGTTATTGAGTATAAATAAGCAAAAATTATTTAATTAGAAATTCAAGCAGTATTACAGGGTTATTCGGAAATATAAATTAAATTATGCAGAAATGTAAATTATTTTATGTGGAAATTAAATTAAATTATGCAAAAATATAAACTAAAAAACGCAGAAATATAAATTAAAACAAGAAAATCAAAATAAAAAAAATATAAATATGAAAATATGAAATTAAATTAAGAAATTACCAAATTGTTTATAATTCCGAATAAAATAATTTATATTTCCGCATAATTAAATTTATATTTCCGCATAACCCTGTAACATTTTACACTTTTTTCTTTATTGATTTATATTAAAGATAAACTAATACTAATAGCATACAGCCTGAGAATATTAAAACATGATACCTGTCTGAACATATAGCTGACAAGAGGTTCATCTAGAATAGGTTTAAACTCAATAAAAGCAAATAAATCTATTCCATCACCATGTTTCTTCATAACAAGTTGAAAAAACCGTTCATTTTCATAAGCTGTAATCATCTAAAAACAATAAACAACAAAAATAATAAGATATTTATAATATATATTTTTGTTCATATATTAGTTTACACAATACTTTATATATATTTTTTAAAAAATATCTAAAATCACTGCTTCTTTGAATTTTAGGATTATGATCAGTTGACTCTAAGGTTCTCCAAGGTCGGCATAAATGTTTATTAGCTATTTAAATCAAAACATGTGCAATATTAATTGGAATAAGAGATCATTGGGTAGATTATCTGTAAGATTGGCGTGGCATAGATGTGTGGATATTCTACAATTTACAATTTAAAGAAAACTTTGCTTTGTTTGCACATGAAGTCATAACAGCAGGTAATTAACATATTAAAGACGATTTCTAATTTTTCTGAAACATATTTTACTTACCATTCATTCAGTTACTTACATTACTATACAGTTACTTAACATTCATTCACAGTTAGCACGGATACTGATAATGCCAACCTAACTGACCCGAGAACACCACTTATGTGGGGTTATAGTGAACACATCAAGGTACCATGTGATGCAAATTATGAAACCTTTTAATTTTTTTTGTGGAAAATAATTTAACTTGAATGTTCAAATAAAAAGGAAATTTTGACTTTAAAGTGTGACAATAAAAACACCTGTAACATGAGAACCACTCATGTTACAGGTGTTAAATTTGATAAAAACTTGAGCAAATATAGCATATGGCTGCACCAAACTCTGGATAAAATTTCAGCCAAATTGGTTAACTGGTTAAGAATTTATGGCAGTTTTAATTTATATTTTGTTAGTTTTTTGCTACTTCTATCTCAAAATATTACAGATTACTGTGATATTCAGTCATTTTTAAAATAATTGTTATGTAAGTGTTCTACTCTGTAATACCAACAAGCTCAATCAAAATCTAGCCTCAGTCTTTTCAGCAATCTGGCGGGGTTGTTGCTCATGCAAAGTTTTAGTGCAATATTATTCGAAAGCCAATCATCAGTGGGCTTGTCAATGTACTGATTTTGGAAATAATTCCACCAATGGAATTGCATCTTCTTATAGGAGCTGTCAATCATTTTTTCAAGATACTTAAATCTACTTAGATAGAAGCTTTTAAGTGGCCAGCTGCCTTCCACATTCAACTGACCCTATATCATAGGGGCCAGTTCGAAGAAAAGGAATGCAGGAAACTTCTTAAAAATGTGAATGTGCTCTAGCAACTTGCTGATACAAACTCAGTTCCCAACATTCTTCAAATAATTGAAGCATTCAATATAATTTAGTTGTAAAAGCTTGCTTTGGATTTATCCTTCAATTGAAATAGTTGAACATTTTAAAAGGTGGTCAAGGTTTAAACGAAACAATAATCATCCAGAGTACAAAGAAAAATTGTTATGCTGCGAAACTGATCTTATCAGCAAGCATCTTTAAAGAACTCCTATCATAATTTGATTTTTTAGATAAGGCAGCAGAAAATCATAGCTAATGGTTTATAATGACTATTTTAACTATTTCAATCCTTAACTGCTGAAAGTAATTATGAATTTAATATTGAAAATATTGAAGAGTATTTTGAAGAAATTTGTCTTCTAATTTCATCAGATGCTATTTGATGGTAATATAATGTAAAAAATATGGTTTATATAGTTATTTTTTCACTTCATTTTAAAAGTCAATATATATAAGAAGGTTTCAAGGGCCAATAAAAATTTTTTTAACAAAAAGTTTTTTTTAGTTTTACTAAATGATAGTTCTTTTGCCAGGTTTTGCACTTTTTTTTTGCATTTTGACAGTAGGTTATACTTCAGGAAATATTGAGATATTTAATCTATACTGCTACATTGACATAAGCCAATTCAAATCATGTTTCAAATAACAAACCAATATTTTTGTTTTTAGAATAAAAATGATAAATGTAGCAATAAAACAATTATAATAAAAATTGTAATTAGTGTTCTTCTATGAAACTGATATTACATTGTAGAACACTCATGTAACCTTATTTTGTAAACAGTGATTAAATATCACAGTAATTGGTAATGTTTTGAAGTCTAAGTTGCAAAAAAATAACAAAATATAAACTAAAACTGCCATAAATCAATAACCAACAAACCAATCCAACTAAAATTTTACCCAGAGTTTGGTGTGGCCAGATGCTATATATGGATCAATTTTTACCAAATTATATGTAGTGGTTCTCATTCTACAGATATTTTTATTATAGCACTATAAAGTCAAAAGTCAAAACTTATAAACAAATATTATGTACGAGTAGCTGACTTTACGCTAAATATTTATGTGACACTATTGCATGGATCTAAATCAAAGGCCTATTACTTGTGCAAATTTTAAGAAAAGGGGAAAGTTAAGGAGAAAGGTTTTTAAAGCCTAAAATTCCCTTTAAATTGAAAAATACATTATTTATATAAAAGAAATTGATCCACTATGATTTAAAACTACGCTATCTACTATTTTCAATGGAAAATAAAAAAATCATTTCCTCTTCAATGACTATCAAAGATGGTTGTTAAGAGGGAATGACCAATGACCATCAAAGATGGTCATTGAATGATTTTTAAAAATCCTTAGAATCAAAAAATAAATGATTTTTTAGAACCCTTAGAATCAAAAACATAACCATTACTCATATTCATTTTAAAACTATTTATTACTATATAACTAATAAACTCTAAACAACTATTTATAATTTATAAATTATAAATTGCAACTATTTATATTTTGGTCTTTAACTACTTTTAACAAATCATAGAAGCCAAAAGTCTAGTGGACAATAAAAAGTTAACTGGCATGTTTATAGTTGGAGACTTCAATAACACCACATTGAATGGTTAGAAAATCTTCCAATTAGTGTGAAAAATAACTGTCAACAGAGCTTACACTTCGCCAACAATTTAAACGAAAATTACCATTACCAGTGCGTCTAAACCAACATTTCAAATTGAAGATTTTGTAGTAATAGATCATTCTTAAAAGAAAGATAGACATGGAAATAGGATCTGACACTAGGATCATTCGAAAAGGCTAACAATGTTATTCAATGGTTAGATGTCACTAAAAACACCATTATATGCAAAGTCAACAACAAAACATAAGCCTACAGAAAAGGTTATTGTGCGTCAAGAATCTGTTCTTGGGCTGCTTCTGTTTTTGGAACTCATCAATGACATACAAAGAACATTACTATGTATATGCAAACTTTACATAAATGTAAAGTTAGTCATTATATTACAGCAATTTCGTGACAGCAAGCTGCTGAAAGCAATAAAAACCTTTCCGGATACAATCAGTTTGCAAGAGGATATCAACAATTTAGTCAAATGGACAAGTATAAGGCTAATGAATTTATACAAAGAGAAATGCAAGGTTTTTGGAAAAAAGAACCTTCAGACCATTTATAAATGATAGAATATGAGTTTGAATACAAACTTGGCAAAACAACACTAAAATGTGACTTTATCAGTGGATCTTATCAGACATCAAATACCATCATTAAGTCGGAACCATCAAGTGTTCCTTCATTCATCTGATTATGGAAATGGTCTATACCCTGTACACAGTGTTAGTTAAGCCTTACATTGTGATTGCAATACATGTATGGAACCCTATTTTAAAAGGTGATATTCAAACATTGGAAAATGTCCAACATTGTGCAACCAAACTGTGTCCTAAGCTCAAACATGAAATTGACTACAATGAAAACTGATGTATGGTAAGACGTTAGCTTGGCAATCTCATTCAAGAGTTCAAATTATTGAACAAAATAGAGCACATTAAATGGCCAACAATTTGTACTGTCATTGCAAGCAAACAGACCAGTATCAATAATAAAAGGTCTCAATTTTAAAAATCAAAAAAAAAAAAAATCTTTAACTTGACAAGCCTTCTTAGGTAGTTGTATAGCAAATACACGGAACACTTTACCAATAAAGTGGTAAATGCCCGTGAAACCATTCAAAACATTATTAGACAGATTTTTTATCAAAATTGTAATTTATATAAAATAAAATATCGTGTAGGCATTAACACATATATTACCAAGCGTTTTGCGATTTGCCACAGCATCTATATTACTATTATTACTAATATGCAATAAGCTAAGTTAAAGCGTGTACATGTAATGGGTAATTATTTAAATAAAGCAAATAGCAATTATTTAGACAATTTCAAAAACCTGAAATAAACTTTTTTTAACCTCAACAATATTTGGATGATTAATTCTTGATAAAATATAAATCTCAAGTGGCACTTTTCCCAAATGATTGTCATTCACCCATCCATCTTTAAGAACTTTCTCCTTTTTTATGAACTTTACAACAACCTAAAATAATAAAAGTATTTTTTCAACAAAAAAAAAAAAAAAAAAAAAAAAAAAAAAAGTTAACAACTTGGGTTGCTTCCACACCTACCATGAGTTAAACAAAAGTTATTATAATATGTTAGATTACTCAAAAAGTAGAAATACATTGGAAATGAATTTTTGCAGCCACCAATGTAATATTATTAGGGTTAGTTTAAAATTATTTTTGCTCTGAAATTTAAATCAATAATGTACTTATTTTAATCAAACTTTTAAAGCACAGTTTTCCATTCTTATTGTAAGTGTTTTACACTTATCATATATATTGTTGACACTAATCGTATATCTTAAAATCTGCTTTGGTGCCTGGTTTATGTGCTTGCAGTTTCAAATGAAAGATTAATGCAACAGTAACATTTTATTAAACGTTTTTGGGCATATAGATTTTAAAAAAATGCTATTAAATATTCAGGGCTTTTTTTTTTTTGCAACTTTTTTTTCCTTTTTCAAAAATTTCATGTTTTTTCTTTCCTTTAATAATTATTTAATAACTTTTTATCCATAGCCAACTGTTTCTTTCCTAATCTTTCTTCCTTTATTTTTGACTTTCTATCTGCAGGTAATTGTTTCTTTCTTATTCCTTTATTTGTGACTTTTCTTGCACTTTTGTCTTTTGAACTTGCTGCTGCGTTTCAGATATTACATTCGATGGTAAAAGTTCTACTTTGCGCTTGGACATTTAGACTGGTTGTTTTAGCCATTTTATAACACTTTCGATTCGATTTATGATTTCTACTGCTATTTTCAAACTGAAACAAGCTGGTTTTGGTTCTATTACTGCTGCAATATTGCAATCAGGCATTTCCATATCGGTTATAACTTTTTTAAATTACAAGTTTTTGATAGATTTTTACTACCCTGTTGTATTTCATCAAGTAAAGTTATGGTCTTATATGTTTCAGATAAGGCCCTTTTCCAAAAAATAATACAGCTGGAGGTATTCAAGATCACCTTTTCAACCTAAATGTTTGTCAGCTATTTTAAAATGCTCTAAAATACTTGGATGAATGCACTTTTCAATAAAGGTTATGTGAGAGAAAGCTGATCACTTGAATGGTTCTTTTCTAAATAAGGAATTTAAGCAACAGTTGACTCAGATCATCTTTGAACAATTTTCGTGTAGTCAACACTATTAGCTTCAACACTATTAGCTTCATATGGAAAAATTCTGGTACTTTTAAAACCACTTATTATTTGCCATAAAAGGATCAATTATAAATGAATTTAATGTTTCTGGTACATTTTCATTGTTTATTTCTTGTCCTTCATGGTCAATGCCCCATTGTCGGCAAAAAGATTTCCACTATGCTTACATTGACCCAAAAACTGCCACATACTGAGCGGCTGAAAAATATGTGTTGCATTTGGGAACAAAGCAACAAAAATTGTTCCATTTTTAGAGCAAAACTTACTAGGTTTGATAAAAGAATGTGACACATGATAATCAAAAAAAAAATATATGGTAAAGGAAATTCTTCTTTTATTAAAAATGGATGAAAAACGTTTGTGGTCATCCAATCATTTTCACTGTATCCAATACTCCATCCTGATGGAGGAGCATTTATAATTCTATTTGGAAGACAAACACTTATAAATTTTTAATGATGGAGCAAAAGTTGGCATTTACTGCAAATAAAGTGGTGATGCTTTTTTTTATTACTACAAGCACTTTCTTCATATGTATTTTTTTCTCGCTCACCAATTAATGAATTAGTTTTTGTTAACAACTGAAAACCACTCTCATCCGTATTAAAAACACGCTTCAAATCATTTAAATACTGAGCATTTTCAGCTTTAGAATTACAGCAAACCTTTTATGGCTTTTTCATTTACTCTTCCTCTAGCTCGGTTTAAGTATTCACCTTGTTTTTGAGCTGTTTGCGACGGTAAAGAAATGCATAAAACCAACCATTTACAGTTGTTAGTAAAGTGGTTGGTAAAACAGTTGTTAGTAAATTGTGTTTTTATATATTTGAAATTCAAATACTTTTGCGCAGTTTCTAATAGCTGTACTACAGATATGGTGAATCCCATTCTGGTGCATATTAGTAACCAGTGTACTAACTTGTTTTTAATGTGCTCACCTAGTACCAACTCATACCTGCAGTATTGTATCTTCAAAGAAGTGCTTCAAGATATTTTATCACAAAGAATTTTCAAAGAAATTCTAAACGTCTTGCTCGCTATGAAAACACAACCATACCTTTTCCAACAGCATTAATAGCATAAAAAAATTGAATATCTGTATATAAAAAAAAAATTGAATATCTGTATATAAAAAAAAAGTATGAGAGGATAAAAAAAAGTATGTATATATATATATATATATATATATATATATATATATATATATATATATATATATATATATATATATATATATAAACACACACACACACACACACACACACACACACACACACTGTCATAACTAAGGGAACAAATATTGAAAAACACAACATAAGGCCTATTACTATTTTAGTTTATTTATACAAAAAAGTATTGATTTAAGTAAAATATAGTCTAAAGTAACTATTTTATGGAAGTTAAATATATTCAAACACCTTAATACAAATAATGACCTAGAGAAAGAAACAAAAAACTGTTATTTCTAACTCCAAAACTAAAAGAGCTTTTAACAATACCTCATACTAATCAAATGTAATCATTAAAAAATACTTAAGGCACACAAATATACTAAATAATTTAAAAACACACCATCAAAAACACATAAGACCAATAATTGATAGCATATTCGTTGTGTTTGCCCATTATTCCTTTAATGCGACATAGTGGTCCCAATCCAGAAAATCCTGAAGAGCACCCCCAAACCATCAAGCTTTCGCCACCCCCATGTTTTAAGGTTCCTATAGTGTACATTGGTTTTAATTGTTTACCAACAGGCCTTCGAACATTTCTTTTACCATCTGAACCATTTATGTTCAGATGGTAAAAGAAATTTAGACTCATCTGAACATAATATTTTTCTCCATTGTTCTTTTGTTCAACTTTTATGAGTCTTTGCAAACTCTAAACGTGCTTTACGGTTTTTCGCAGATACAAATGGGTTTTTTGCTGCAGGATAGCTATACAACCCAGCTTTATCCAAGCGTCTTCTTACAGTACTTTATTTAGATTAGATTCATCAGTTGTATCTCTTGCACTAGCAAATGGGTTCTTTTTTGCATACCTAATAATTTCACGATCAGTATGTAGAGTACTTTTTTTTGGCCGTCCACCTAAATGCTCAGTTTCAACAACTTCTTTTGTTTTATATTTATTAACTAATCAGCTTATAACTACTTTTGATATTTCATACTTTTTACATAAATCCCTTTGCGTAGCTCCATTATTATAATCTTCAATGATTTTTTGTTTAAAAACACTATTATATTTATTACCAGCCATCTCGTCACTATTAAAGTACAATATTGTTACAAGACAGCAGTTTGTTAATATAAGAAAAACACTAAAAAAATAATTACAATAAAAACCATTCAAATATTACAAACTAAAAACATCATAAGTTAAAACCATTCAAATATTTTGAAAATAAAGTTTAAATAAAATAAACTGCTTTAAGATTAAAGTTTCCTTTGTTTTGAAACATTTTACTAATGTTTCGTATTCATTAAAATAAATGAGTCAAACAAGTGAAGACAAAACAAAAATATATTCTTAATTTACCTGTAATTAACATATCTAAAAGGTTTAAAATCGCAATCTTTTTATAATAATTGAAAACTTTTTTTATTCTAAGAACTTCTTTTTTTAAAAGTTTCCTTAGTTATGGAGGACAGTGTGTATATATATATATATATATATATATATATATATATATATATATATATATATATATATATATATATATATATATAAATGTATATGAATATATATCCACGTTTGTGTGGTTTGGAGGGGTTTCCATAATGCAATTTTAAATTTAATAAATGAAATGAAATAGCCATATTGTATTTTGGGAGTTTCAAAAGAAAGGGAATGCAACAAAAATACTAGGTTAAAGGTTTGAAATATTTTTATTTTAAAAGTATGTATGTATCAGTAAAAAATGATTATTTGATTAGGAATCGCTCAATTTCTCACTACAATGGAGACATCAATGAAAGAGCATCATGGATATGAAAAAAGTTATTGTTTTTTTTCTTATTTGTCTATATTGTTTCTTAAATGCTAATATTGATAATATTTTTCCACTTAATAGTTTATTAAGTACAACAAATAATAATCTTTTAATGACAGTAATGTTTCCAAATCAATTCTTACTGAAATGACTGTTTGTTTATCCATTCCAATTTGGAAAGTACCCATCTACCCAGATGGTTTTAGTAGAGTAAGATATTTTCATGTTGGAAAATTTTTTTTAAATCTTTTTTTACTCATAAATCTAATTATACTTACTTTATAGTACTTTTACATTGTAATTTAAAAACAGTTAGTACTTGGTCACAAATATACATTGACCTTGTGAAATTTAGCAAATGCAACAAATCACATGGTACAAATAGATTTGTAAATGGTCTTTTGGTGTCATTGTTGGGAAACACAAGTTATTTAAGCAATATCTGTTTATCTGGCACCAAAACCAAAAAATTGTCAAATCTTGTTGATGGTGTTATTGGTAACTAATTATACATTTAAATTTCTTTATCAAACAAAAAAAATCAATACTTGAATTTTTTTAGATTTTTAGCTTGTGTCTGTTAGATACCGTAAATTTCATCAAAGGATGTGCAAAAGATAAAATTAAACATTGACGAAAGTTAAGAAGATTTAAAACATAAAAGAGTGAGTTTATGTTATAAGAACTTGAATAGTGAATGCAAATATTTCTGTATAACTGTTTTAATTATTTATTGTTAAAGGGATCCCAAACTCCCAACACATGTTGTGTTCATATTAAAGATAATGTTAAAAAAAAAGGTTTGAACCAAATTTTTTTGATTAAAAATAAATAATGAATGCATACCGTGAAAAACAAATGTTGTTGTTTTTGCCGAAGCTTGTTTTCTCCATTTTTTTCAACTACTCGGAGTCTTCAAATTATGCGTCGCAATCTACAGACTTTGGCAATTCCTTTGAAGCGTGTTTAATTCATAAAAGTTTTAGTATTTGATGTCACGGTAGACTTTTAACAAAAGAAAACTGTAATTAAACTAAGCTGCGTTTTTCTACTGTAGTATTTTTTTAACATACAGCAAAACAAATTTATTTGTATTATTTTTCTAAACATCGCAAAAAAAAATTTGTAAAAAGAAAAAATGATAAATTATTTTTATTTTATAGGAGCAACTTGTTTTTTACAGATATCTTAATAATTTTTCGATTTATATATCTTACTTATATTTCTTTTGTTTTTAAATTAAAACAAATATTAAAGCTTTACTTACCAATCTTATGATTTTCTTACGAGTACTTTACATTATATAGAACATTATATATACGGTCTCTCGTTTTTGTGCAAGAGAGCGCAGTATTGTATATTCTAACTCTTACATTAAACAATTAAAACTATTTTCTAACTTGTCTGGTCATTTTTACGCTATGAAGTTTTTTGCTTTTCCATCGAAAAAAAGTAATTACAAGCAATTGCTTTCATTTAATTAGAGATATTTCATAAACTGTTAAATTTTTTTATTATAAAATTTTTTGATTACGCTGATTAAATTTAAATTGCTGAACTTGCTAAATTGGATATGGATCATAAAAATCATTTCATTTTGCATTTGATTTTTGATAACAAAACTTTTGAAATGTTGGCAACTCCTTACCAATTAGAACCTGTTAAGGTTATGAAAAAAAAGAACAAGAACACACCAAACAATACAGTTGTCAGTAGTATCAGATATGAAAGTTTTAATGTTGTTATGGCTAATGCGTCAAAAATAAATAACAGCAATAACAGCACAAGCCGGCATTATGAATTTTAAATAATAAGTTTACTGTTCAATACTTTATAACCATCAAATTGAAAACATGAAGTACGTATATTTTTGCCCGTTTTATACAATTAACATTTAACAAAAATACAGACAAATTATTATTAATTAATGCAATAATGACCACATTAATTAATGGCAACAACTCAAGACGGATAGTAACTTAGCAAAAACAACAACATTTGTTTTTCACGGTATACATTCATTATTTATTTTTAATCAAAAAAATTTGGTTCAAACCTTTTTTTTAAACATTATCTTTAATATGAACACAACATGTGTTGGGAGTTTGGGATCCCTTTAAAGTCATTTGTTAAAAATATCGCAATGCGTGTTAAAAAACATTATATTTGGTATTTCCCAATTTATGTGTCATATTTTGTGAAAACACCTAATGAAAATTTTACTAAACAATAGACGATGTGACATCTGACTTTCTCGCGTAAAATTCGGGTAGTTCTGAATGTCACACAATAAAATTTTATTTTTTCTCTAACATATTTTACATACTATAGGAACAAATACGTTCCAAGGGCCTTTTCTGATCTTAGAATAAATTAACACAATACCGCATAATTTTAGGGGCTTTTTATTTATTGCTAAGTCATTCTAAATAATAAGAAAATATAGTTAAAGTTAATATTTTAATAATTACAGTTGCAATATAACAAAAAAAAAGATGTTTAATGTTGAACTTTTTAATTAGTTATTTATTTTTTACCTACTTTTGTTAGAAAAAGACTTTAGTACCCCCGTCATTTAAATAATTTGTTTTAAATATATTTTGACGTGATTATTCAAACTAATTTTTTTTGTTTGACTTCCCCAAGCAAATTGTAGCAAAATGTTGTTACTAATTTTATACGGGTAATTAATGTAAAACATTTATTTATCAGAGTCTTATAATTGAGATAATAATTTTATATGGGTAATTAATGTAAAACATTTTTTTATCAGAGTCTTGATAAAGATAATAAATATTCATAATTTATAAACATTAAATATATGGCGCAATAACAATTTATACCAACGAACCAGCATAAAATATATAAGGTTTTTAATATCTTTTTAAATATTAAAAGTAGAAAAAAAAAAAAAACTAAACAAATAACCAAAAAAACTTCGACTAAAAATAAATAAAAATATTTCTAGAGTTTCTTTTGTTAAAAGTCTACCGTGACATCAAATACTAAAACTTTTATGAATTAAACGCGCTTCAAAGGAATTGCCAAAGTCTGTAGATTGCGACGCATAATTTGAAGACTTCGAGTAGTTGAAAAAAATGGAGAAGACGAGCTTCGGCAAAAACAACAACATTTGTTTTTCACGGTATACATTCATTATTTATTTTTAATCAAAAAAATTTGGTTCAAATCTTTTTTTTAAACATTATCTTTAATATGAACACAACATGTGTTGGGAGTTTGGGATCCCTTTAAAGTCAATTGTTTAGAAAGTTTATATATGCACACTTTCTTTTCTTTTTTTTGCCAATAGAAAATATTCCTTATATAATAAATATACAGATGGTCTATAGAATATTCTAAAAAGTAGATAAATATGCTTTATTCCATCAATTCTATAGACCATCTCTGGAGAAATTATTAGGAAATATTTTTTTTACTATTTTGAAAAATATGGTCTATAGAAACTTCAAAAGAAAAATCTACAAAAATTCCTATACAAACTTCTATAGACTTTCTACTGCAATTCTAGAAAACATTCTATAGACTTTTTGTAGTTTAATTTTTATAGACAATATGTTTCAAAAGCCTATAGAAAATACTATTGATTTATTTTACAAAAACTTCTGTAGAAATTCTATAGAATTTTCTATAGACTTTTTGTAGTTAAACTTCTATAGGCAATATGTTTCAAAAGCCTATAGAAATACTATTAATTTTTTTTTATAGAAATTTCTATAGACTTTTTATAGAAATTCTATACAATTTTCTATAGACTTTTTGTAGTTGATTTTCTATAGGCAATATGCTTCAAAAGCCTATAAAAAATACTATTGATTTTTTTATAGAAAACCCATCCAAATTTTGTCTTGGGTATTTATTGGACATATGATATGTATGGAATGACATTTTTTTTAGTTCATACTATCATTATACTATCTTATCGTTCAAAAATACTACATTGATACTATAATGATGAGTGGTTTTAATAATTTTAATAATAATTCATGTTTTATTTACCTAATTAAATTAATTTAGAAATAAAATTTTATGTTATCTTCTTAAATTTCCTTGTTTTATTTGAAACGCTTCTAACAGCTACTACTTAAAAATAAAAAAATGTACTTTAAAACGTTGACGAAATAAAACAACTGAATTCATAAAAGTAACTATATATTGCAATTTCTATGTATTGTAGTAGAAGTGCATGACGATATTGTTGAAAAAAAAATACATTTTGCAAAATTTATGTTAGTATTTGAAATCTATGATAAGTGTGGAAACAACCCTATATATTAGAAAAAAAATTTGGAAAATTGATCTCTGAGAGAAAAGTTATTTGTAAAATTAAAACATCAGATTATTAAATTAAAAAAAAAAACAATGTTGCATAAAAGTTCTTGAAACTTTTTGTAAAGATTTCACCTATTTAAGTTTAATCAAAATGAAATGTTAAGTTTTAACATTTCCAACAACTACCCTGCCTTAACAAAGAGTGGTAATAAACATGGTACTCTGAACAAAGTGGTAATAAACATGGAACCCAAACATGGTACACCTAACAATGGTAGTAAACATGGTACACTTAATTAACAGTATTAATAAACATGATACATTTAAGTAACATAATGCATGTTCTTTATTCAAAAAAAAAAAAAAAAAAGATAAAAAAAACTAAAATAAGACCTGTTCTTTATCAGATTTTCGCTCTGCAAAACTAACAAAACCAAAAGCACCTTTTCCAATGCAGTCAAGAGTATTGTACTGCTGCTTAAACTCACCAACTCCGGGGTCTTCGGCAGCAGCTTCAGACACAGATTTTAGTAACTAAAAGCAGAAAATGATCATAAATTGTGGAGTTGTTTATGGCAAAAATACCAAAAAGTATGCTATAATTAAATCAGAAAAAATATTTTAAAATATTTATCTTACACCTCATGAAAGTATCCTGTGGAAGCATTAAAAGTTGTATTATAACTTGAAAGAAGAAGGTGCTGTCTTCCTTCGCTTTCTTCATCTGGATCTCGTGTTATCCATATACAAAAAATTTGCTCACTTTTTTTACTAATCTTCTTTATCTAAAAAAAAAAAATAAGTTGAAACATATTTTAATTTAAACATATTTTTTGTTGAAACATATTTTAATTTCACATAATAAATTAAAATGATTATAAATTTGATGTCATTAAAACTATGATGCAATACTTAAACGACATAATAATTAAACTTGGATCTAAATGGGTATTACTAGCATAATGAAATTAATCTAACTAACTTGGATATTTCTTATACATCTCAGAGTAAAATAGAAAGCACTCAAGATATATTTATGACATATACAACATGTTTATAAAAAGATAAACATTACCTCAAAAAGAATAGGAAGAAGTGATCCATCTTTATGTTTAGCTTGTCCATAATACTGACCTTCAACAATTTTTGTTTGTACAACTGCAATGTCATCATTAATTGAATAATTTGATTTTTTGTGAACTGGTTCAAATTTCATTTTCTCAACAAGTACATCATCTTTGTTCTTATTTAAAAATGACAGTTCACTGAAAGAATCACCTAAAGAATCGTACAAAATGTCTTGCTTTTTTTCATTTTTTAAAAGTGGAGCATTATTTTTTTTATTCAAATTGTCAGAACTTTTTAAAAAATTATATTTCTCATCAGGGGAGCAATCACTAAATGTTAGTTTCTTTTTCTCATCTATTTCAACTTGTTCTAAATTTTTTTCCAGTTCAATTTTACAGCATGATTTTGGTGTACTAGATTCTAAATTTGGTGTCACTTCATCAGAGAACTTTTCGTCAGTAATTCCATCCAAAGGCACTTTGCCAATAGATAAATCAGAAAATTCTTCCAAATTTTTATATTCAGTTAACGTTGCTAGCTTGCTTTTTGTCTGGAATTTGTTTTCAACAGAAAGAAGTTCGATTTGTAAATAAAACTCAGGTATAATGGATGTAATATTCTGAAAAGTTAAAAGGAAACAATTGTATTCTGGAAAGTTAAAAATAAATAAATAAACACAATTATACCATTATAACATTATTAACATACACTAACATAACACTAACATACACCGCCATAACACTAATAAAATACACTGCCATAACACTAATAACATTCACTACAATAACACTAATAACATACAACACCATAACACTAATAATATACACCACCATATCACTACCTATAAATTAAATAAGTTATGAAGTGAAAATATATTCAAATTAATTTATTTACCTTTAATTTAGAAATTTATCATCACAGAAAAAATATAGGAAAAACCCTAGTGTTGTTTTTATATCTCCCTTGTATTGTATATCTCTCTAAATCCTAATATCTTTCCAAACTCTATATTCTATATCTCCTTAAAAGTCAAAGGCACAAGTTAAGCTCAACAACTACTTGAAAACAATAAATATTCCAAATAAAATTATTAATAACCAGGAAAACAAAAATTTATCTTTTTGGTTAACCTGATCGTTGCACTATGAAGCTTCAGAATGAAAAGAACTACAAACTGGAATCCCTCAAAGTTCTGCAGATTTGTTATTTTTTGTAATAGCTACCAATGATCTTTATAATGGTTTTTATAATAGTTATCAAATAATTTTATAATTGTTATCAATGATACCAAGTATGTAACATTTTATGACTAATAGGATATCAAAGGTTTGAATGATTTAACAATGCTGCAATAAGACTTGAATAAAATTGATAAATGGTTGAAAGAATAGAAAATGAAGTTAACTCTCAAAAATGCCAAGTAATGGTAATCAGAAAGTCATCAGCAACACTCTTTTCTCAATTCACATCATGAACTGTTTTTAAACAAGACCTAGGCATCAAAATTACCAATAATCTGAATAAGAAAGACCACTTGAAATTTTTTTCAACAGGAGCAAACTTTATAGTTGGCTTTCTCAGGTCATCATTTAAAACATGGACCATCAAAACAGTCTTTCCAGTTTAATTTTAACACTTTATGTTTAACTTTATACTTTTTGGTCCATACTGTAAATAAAACTTTAAGTGATGGAAAAGGTTTAAATATAGACTACAAAGTTGGTTCCTGAAATAAAAAATCTCAAGGTCTAAAAAAGACTCAAAAAAAGTTAGGCCATGTTTTTTTGCAAGGTTTTTTAAACCTTGACTATAGTCAAGGTTTAAAAAAGCGCACACCTCGGCATTGAGGCAGCCCTTTTTTAAACCTTGGAGTTGCCAAATGTTTGGTCTTTACGGAATAGAATACAAACCTGTAAAAGTATTTCTTTTTTACTGCGTTTTCCTCTGTAAAACTGGAATTCTGGCAATCCTACATATAATGTATAGTGTTTTTAACAACAGTTGTCAATTAAAAAGTTGTTTTAGCAATTTGAAAAGTAACAAGAAGATCGTGGAAATCATCAAAAAGGTTTTGTTAAAAATTAAATAAAATTTAGCATTTTTTTTTTAACTTTTTACTTTTGTAATTTAAAAATGAAAATGCAAAAAGACAATATATGTAACTCACTGTTTAGATCTTTTAAAACTGTATTTAAAAGCGACATATGCAATTAAAATAGATAAAAGTTTTAATGAATAAATTTAACAGCTCATTCATTAAAACTGCAAACAATCTTTTGTTCTTGTTTTCTTTCTAATATATCAAACAAAGTAGAGAGACGATTTAAAAATGAAAACTTAAAAAGATTGCTCAAAATGAAACAAGTTGAATAATTAGAATTAAACATTTATAAAGTAGAAAAATATTACTGCTATAAATATAACTCAGATTTATCTACTTTTTTAAATGTTAGAATGTAACGACCTTTTTTTTTTGGCCGCACCTAAATTCCCAATTTCACAAAAATGCTGAAAATGAATTTTTTTCCTGGCTAACACCATGTATATGTATATATATATATATATATATATATATATATATATATATATATATATATATATATATATATATATATATATATATATGGCACCGCGTATAACACAGTATTCCCAATTGGTTTAAAATTCCCAAAGCCAATTGGTTTAAAATTCCCAAAAGTTTATAAGATCATAGTAAAAAAAAAAAAAAATTAAGTCAGTCTCAGATCTAAAATGTCGCGCTAGACTAGTAAAAATTAGTATGCATGACGAAAAAATTAATTAAATTGAGTAAAAACGTGCCGTCATTAACAAGCATCATTAACAAGATCATTCATTCAAAAGTTTAAAAAAAACTTTTTTTAAAAATTTTTATTGACGTCACTTATTCTCGAGTTCAGATTTTTCAAAATGTTTAATAAATTATTTTATTAATTTACTTTTATTATTCAAAAATTCTTAATTAAGGTTTTTGCTGTCTTTCTTAAGTTTGGAAAGTTACAAAGAAATTCGCATAATAATAAATACTATACTTTAAAATAAGTTAATAACGTTCTTATAATAAAAGATTTATTAATACTTTTGGTAAAATAAATCAGCTAGTAAAGTAAACCGAAGATATCAACGAAAATATTCAAAAATAAAACTTGCAATGAAACATATCATCTATGTTATATTTGCGTAAAACATAAAAGAAGATAATTAAATAATATTATAATATTATTAATTATTAGCCAGTATTTATAAATACAAATTTTTTTTTTAAAATTTACAAATAGAAACATTACGTAGATATTTAATGTATATTTGTAAATTAAAAAAATAATAATAATTTTGTATTTAAATACATTTCTTATTTAAATACCTAATTTACTAGATACTTAAATATGCCGATTAAATATTTAAGTATTTAAATAGTTATATATTCAAATATATTTCTTCAGAAATATATTTGAATATATATAAATCGTTTAAACCTGTATTTAAAAAGCGAATTACACAATTAAAATAGATCAAAGTTTCAATAAAATTTAATAACTTATTCATTAAAACTACAAACAATTGTCTTTTGTTCTTGTTTTCTCTCTACTCTACTGCAGCCATTTTTCAAAATGCCTTTAGGTAAAAAAAATCAATTTTGACATTTTTATACAATATGCTAGCTTAGATGTCTACAAACATTATTGAATACATATTTTCAAAGAGTTTTAAAAAAATTCATAAAAATTATTAGTTTCAAAAAGCGTTTTACAAAGAGTTTCTCTTAATAATATTTTTTAATTGCGCTTTTCTTGAAATACGTTTTTAAGGCGTTTTGAAAAACGGCTGCAGTATATAAAAAACGAAGAAAAGAAGCGATTTAAATGAAAACTTTAGAAAATTGTTCATAATGAAACAAGATGATTAATTAAAATTAAACATATATAAAGTAGAAAAATAATCCTGCTGTAAATGTAACTCCCAGAAAAAATAGAAAATTTAATTTTGATTAAAATTTAATTGCAGAGTGTAAGGACCTTTTTTTTTTTTTTTTTCCCGCACCTAAATTTTGCAAAAACGCTGTATGAAATTTTTTCCTAGGTAACACTCTGTATATATATATAAATATATATATATATATATATATATATATATATATATATATATATATATATATATATAATATATATATATATATATATATATATATATATATATATATATATATATATATATATATATATATATATATATATATATATATATATATATATATATGGTAAATATTTTTACAGATATACCATTAATATACTATAGGATTACCTAAAAAATGTTATGCATATATTTATGAAAATCTATTTTTTTAAAATGATAGTAAAACATACATTATAATGTTACTCACTTTTTCTGCAAGTTCATTACTAGTATAACCTAAAAAAGTTCGCACAAAATTACAATTGCAACTACGTATTGCACCATCATCAGACACAGTCACTAATCCACTGATGTTTGCAAAAACCCACATTAAACAATTGTATAGAAGCTTCGATGTATTAAACCTGAAAATATATTATATAAAAGGCAAAAAAAATATTGCTATTCAAATTTTTAATAAATGCATAAATGATAATATGTTAAAAACCAATAATTTATATAAAATACATTATTAAGTAATAATATTTGAAATAAATTGAAATTTAAATATTTTTTGGATATTTAAAGTTTAAATTTATATAAAAAAATACTTTTTCGAAACACCTCCTTAATTTCGAAAAATCTCCTTAATTTTTATTTATAGAACTTATTAGTGGTTTCATAAATTTTTTGTTTATTGAATATTATTAAAAATTTTGTCAGACAGTACGCCTATGCGGCGGAAGTAATTAGCATCACCTTGGTTAAAAATCTACCACTGACACCTTTTTTAAAAATCTTTTCAATTTTTATAAAATACAAAATAAAACATTTATAAAGTTATATAGACATTATATACATAACATATTTAAAGATACTATATATTACAGGCCATATTTTAAAGCGTTAAGCAATTTATGTATGCCTTGAGTCATTTTTACGTAAACAGTAAATGATTTCGGTTAATCTACTTTTTATCATTTTTTAACTTTTAAATTATACTATAAGCGGTAAGTTAAAAGAAGTAATTAATTCTTAAAAAAGTCACAAACTTTTGAGCGACGCTTATGTAAAAAGTTTGAATGACAATTGTTTGATATAAGCGCTATCTAAATAAAAAACTTAATAAATTTTAATAATAAATTTTTTTATTAGTAAATATTGACTAATGAAAAAAAATTGATATAAAGTTTATTTTTATTTTTTATATGCTTGAAACAAAGATCATAAAAGTATAATTTAATTCTGATAAAAAATATATAATTTAATTAAAAACTAATTTAATAAAAATATATAACTTTATTCTTATAAAAAAATATATACTTTAGATTTAATAATATATTTAAGTTCATTAAAATTAAAGTTAATGCTTGGATTTAACTTATCTGTCAAATCTATTTAAAAATATTACTAAATATTGTTCAAACTTTTAAATTTTATTTGTTGTTAAAAAAAAAAATCAGTTTATTTTTATCGCAATTATTTTTTCGGTTTTCCTTTCTAAACATTTTTTTTGTACTTAAAATAAAATTTTAAATAAACGGCTGCATCAAAAGTTTGCACAAAACTTAATCTAAACTTTTTTTTTATAACGCTAGTTGAAAAATCACAGCAATTATTTTTCAGTAAACGATATATTCAGCGATGTAATTTTAATAACAAAATAATAAATTAATAAACCTTAATTAAATAAAGTAAATAAATTAATATAATTTCTTTATTTGTTATTCCCTAATTTTTTAAAAATAAAAAATTAGTTTTAGTTGCAAAGTCGCTATTAAAAATTTGAGAAATAATCATTTTAAAAACTTAAAAACTTAACGTATTTTAATTAACTTATGCAAATGTCGAGAAAAGAAAGAAATTAGTTTTTTAGATTTATTTTTTCTTGTAAAACTTGTTTTTTAGATATAGATTTAGGTTTTTTAGACCAAAAACTGATGCAAACCAAACATTTTTAAAAATACAGTATTAAATTATTTTATATTAAAAACAACAATAATAATAATAATAATAATAATAATAATAATAATAATAAACAATCCTTTATAGTAATAATAAAAAAGCTGTTAAATTACATTTAACTTGTTTTGTGGCAATTAATATTATTGCAGTTTTTAAAAAGCTAATGTCTTTAAAAAATAAAAAAATTATAAGAATTTTATGACATCAAATATCACGTTAAGCTATAGCATTAAGCATTTTTTATTCAAAACAAGGATTGATACTATAACAAATAAAAGAAGAGACTTTTAAAAACTTAAATTTTCTAAAAACATCAAAAGACTTGAAGAAAGCCATGAGAAGCGTGATTATTTATTTTTATTATTTTTATGACTTCAAGTGCAAAAATGGCTCCTGACAGTTTTGGATTGGAACTAAGAAAGAAAATTTTTGGCGATTACGTAAGTAAAGCTGAAACATTTTATATTTGAAGAATTGAGAAATTTTTTTTTTTTTAATGTTAAAATTATTTATATTATTGTTTTTTTATTTGTTTATGTATTCTTATTTTGGTTGACATTTAAATATACATAAATAAATAAAATTAGATGTAAAAAATAAAAAAGATTTATTTGCTATTCTATAGTATAAAAAAAATCAGTAAGAACCTTTTTTATTTTAGTTTTAGTAAAACAAATCGTTTGTTAAATGCAATTAATAGGGTCATCTATAAAACACGTCATCCTATATTTGTCAGTTCTTAACCCATTCCCTCCTAAACTGTGTTTAAAAAAATACCTGAAACATATACCTGAACCTCTCTCCCTCTTCTCCCTCTTATTTTTGACGTAAAAACTGTAATAGCAGTTTATAGGCCAAAAATATTTAAAAAGATTTAAACGTAAATACTTTGTAGCATTTTAAAAATTCAACCTAATGAAAAAAATAAAGGCAATACGCATAAAAGAAATAAGCAAAGTAAAAACTGCAACAAAACAAAGATTTTCTTACTTAAATGACTCAAATAAGTATTTTTTAAAGTTGCTCTTGGTCTTGCGAAAAATCTATTTCTGATTTGATAACTTTCATAAATGTTAT